CAAACATGCTGAAGACATATTTCCATACCCTATCCTCAAAATTATGCAGGAGTGTTTTTTTAAAGATACGTTTCTTTTTATTTGTTTATTTCGAGACAGAGTCTTGCTCTGCCACCCAGGCTGGCGTGCAGTGGCATAATCTTGGCTCACTGCAACTTCTGCCACCCAGGCTGGCGTGCAGTGGCATAATCTTGGCTCACTGCAACTTCTGCCACCCAGGCTGGCGTGCAGTGGCATAATCTTGGCTCACTGCAACTTCTGCCACCCAGGCTGGCGTGCAGTGGCATAATCTTGGCTCACTGCAACTTCTGCCACCCAGGCTGGCGTGCAGTGGCATAATCTTGGCTCACTGCAACTTCTGCCACCCAGGCTGGTGTGCAGTGGCATAATCTTGGCTCACTGCAACTTCTGCCTCCCAGGTTCAAGCAGTTCTCCTGCCTCAGCCTCCCGAGCAGCTGGGACTACTGATGATGCATGCCACCACACCCAGCTAATTTTTGTATTTTTAGTAGAGACAGAGTTTCACCATATTGGCCAGGTTGGTCTTGAACTCCTAACCTTGTGATCCACCTGCCTCAGCCTCCCAAAGTGCTGGGATTATAGCCACCACACCCAGCCTCTTTTTAATAAAAATGTGATACTTATTGATTGCCAACCTTGTTACTGAGCGTTTATACTTTTCCTAGGTGCTGTCATAAACAGTTCATTTGAGCCTCCAAACCATCTTAGAATGGCAGTACCACTGTTATTTCCACTGAGCTGAAGAGGAGCCAGGCTTAAAGAATGTGAGGTTTGCTCAATGGTAAACAGCTACTTGTTAGTAGTGCAAGCAGGATGGGAGCCCGAGTGTTCTGAAGATGTGAAGACTTTTAAGTAAAATGCCTGCAGCTCTGGTGAGATTCTGGAAAAATGGGGCAGAGTGGGGCCAGGGGGCCGGGAGGGGGCAGGTAGAAATTGGTATAACCTTTCTGAAAAATATTTGGAAAGATGTGTACCAACATTCCCTTTCAGATAATAAAAACTACAATGATTACCAGACGCCATGGCTCACGCCTATAATCCCAGCACTTCGAGGGGCCGAGGTGGGCGGATCACTTGAGGTCAGGAGTTTGAGACCAGCCTGACCAACATGGAGAAACCCTGTCTCTACTAAGAATACAAAATTAGCCAGATGTGGTGGCACGCGCCTGTAATCCCAGCTACTCAGGAGTCTGAGGCAGGAGGATTGCTTGAACCCAGGAGGCAGAAGTTGTGGTGAACTGAGATTGTGCCATTGCACTTCAGCCTAGGCAACAGAGCAAAACTCCATCTAAAAAAAAAAAAAAAAAAAAACTAAAATGATCCAAACAGTTTCTATTAACAGCTTGATCAATGCAACAGAGAAATCATCTGGAAATATATATGTAGTATGTTCTTATATATTCAGACAGTCCTCAATTTTCTTTTTTTTTTTAATTGAGACAGGGTCTCACTCCATCACCCAGGTTGGAGTGCAGTGGCATGATATTGGCTCACTGCAACCCTCGCCTCCCCAGTCATCCTCCCACCTCAGCCTCCTAAGTAGCTGGGACCACAGGCACATGCTACCACACCTGACTAGTTTTTTGTTTGTGTATTTTTAGTAGAGACGGGGTTTCACCATGTTGCCCAAGCTGGTCTCAAACTCCTGGACTCAAGCAATCTGCCTGCCTCGGCCTCCCAAATTGCTGCTGGGATTACAGGTGGGAGCCACCATGCCCTGCACAGGTCCCTAAGTTTTGATAGTTCAACCTAACGATTTTCCACTTTGCAATGATGTGAAAGCGACACACATTCAGTAGAAACTGTACTTTGAGTACCCACACAAACATTCTGCTTTTACTTTCAATACTGTCACCAATAAATTTCATGAGGTATCCAACACTTTATAAAATCAGCTTTGTGTCAGATGATTTTGCCCAACTGTAGGCTAATGTAAGTGCTGTGAGCATGCTTTGGGGTCGGCTATGCTACACTATGATGTTCAGTAGGTTACATGTACAGTATTAAATACACTTATGGGTTGGGCGTGGTGGCTCACACCTGCAATCCCAGCACTTTAGGAGGCTGAGGCGGGTGGATCGCTTGAGGTCAGGAGTTCAAGGCCAGCTTGGCCAACATGGTAAAACCCCATCTCTACCAAAAATACAAAAATTAGCCAGGCGCGGTGATGTGCACCTGTAGTCCCAGCTATTCAGGAGGCTGAGTCAGGAGAATCACTTGAACCCAGGAGGCGGAGGTTGCGGTGAGCCGAGATCGTGCCACTGCACTCCAGCCTGGGTGACAGAGGGAGACTCTGTCTCAAAGCAAACAAACTTATGACTTAACGATATTTTCAACTTACAATGGCTTTATCAGGACATAACCCATCATAAATAAAGGAGCTTCTGTACTAAACTATATATATATGAAGCAGTGGGTTCTTTAATTATAAATGTTAGAACCACTGGAAATAGTACTTAAGTTTGAGGCTTACCTCGACTTATGTTGGTGTTACGTCTTGATAAACCCAGTCCCCCAAAAAAGAAAGTAAAAGTCATGATTAATTAGACTTCAGCAAGCTAAGAGTTCATAAAGCACAAGATCAATAAACTGCATACAAATAACCTTTTGAGGCAGGGTCTCAACTTGTCACCCAGGCTGGAGTGCAGGTGTGTGATCACAGCTCACTGCAGCCTCAACCTCCTTGGGCTCAAGTGATCCTCCTAGCTCAGCCTCTTGAGTAGCTGGGACCGCACATGCCTGCCACTATACCCAGATTAATTCTTTTTTGTTGTTGTTGTTGAAATAGGGTGTTGCCATATTGCCCAGACTGGTCTTGAACCCCTGGGCTCAAGTGATCCTCCCTCCTGAACCTCCTAAAGTGTTAGGGTTACATGGGGCTTTTGTTTGTTTGTTTTGAGACAAGGTCTCACTCTGTCACCCAGGCTGGAGTACAGTGGTATAACGTGGCTCACTGCAGCCTTTATCTCCTGGGCTCAAGCAATGTTCCCACCTCAGCCTCCCAAGTAGCTGGGAACAAGGGTGCCTGCCGCCACACCCAGCTAATTTTTGTAGAAACAAGATTTCACTGTGTTCCCAGGCTGATCTTGAACTCCTGGGCCCAAGCAGTCCTCTTGGCTCGGGCCCCCAAATTGTTGGGATTACAGGCATGAGCCATCACACCTGGCCAAATAAAATTTTAAAAACATCTTTATATCAAAAAAAGAAAATCTTCAAAAGGGAAATTATGAAGAGAAGTTTTTCAACAAATATAATCACAGGGTTACTATCCACCATGTATAAAATATTCTTATGAACAATTAAACTATGCTAATAGCTCAGTGGAAGACGGGACAGAGGACTTGGGCAGATCTCAAATAAGCACATGTAAAAAATCAAGATGTCACGTTTGGGGAGGTTTTTTTTTTTTTGCCTATCAAACAGGAAAGGCATTTATAATTAAATATAGTAACAACCTTTTCAAAATGTATTTTGTCATTTTCCAATAAGAGTTTTTTAAAATGTTCATGCCCCTTTGCCTGGTAACCGCTTCTGGGAATCTGTGCTGAGGAAATAATCATAAATGCAACAGCGTATTTTACATATAAAGTTATTCATTATATGGTTAATTATGTAAGAGAAAATTGGAATGAAACTTTGATTACAGCAAGTAAATGAATAAATAACAGAACACACAATGCAATATTATGTAGTCATTAAAATTTTTTTAAAATAGTATTTTAAAGTACAAGATACTGTTAAGTAAAATAGATAGGAGATCCATATTATTAGAATATCCATATTAGAATAGGAGATTCTAATGGTATACTAATCTTACCCAAAAAATTGGAGAGAAATACTGTATACTAAAATGTTGAATACTGACTGAAAACTCCGAAAATCTGAGACAGGTCTCAGTTAATTTAGGAAGTTTATTTTGCCAAGGTTGAAGCTGCATGCCTAAGACACAGCCCCAGAGGGTCCTGACAACATGTACCCAAGGTGGTAAGACAACAGTTTGGTTTTATACATTTTAGGGAGATAGGAGACATCGGTCAACATATGTAAGCTGAACATCAGTTGGTCTGGAAAGGCAGGACAACTTGAAGCAGGGAGGGGGCTTCCAGGTCAAAGGTAGATAAGAGACAAATGGTTGCATTCTTTAAGTTTCTGATTGGCCTCTCCAAAGCAGGCAATCAGATATGTATTTATCTCCGTGAGCAGAGGAGTGAGTTTGAGCAGAACGGGGCGCAGCTTTGTCCTGAGCAGTTCCCAGCTTGACTTTTCCCTTCAGCTTAATGATCTGGGGGACTCAAGCTATTTTCCCTGCACATGACTATCTCTGGATCCTGGGATTGGATGTGATTTGAATTTTTTTAAATTTATCTTTCTGTTTTCAAATTTTCTATAAAGGCCAAGTCCAATTTTTATAATGAGAAATTTTAAAATATCAAAAATCGACATGACTCATCTCCCAACCAATCTTGGATGTGGTGCTGATAAGAAGTTTCACTCCTCCAGCAAACTATTGGATCGTGTTGCAACTCTCTTCTTGGGGGAACGGCTGACTTGCCAGGAATGGGAGACAAATGAGGGTGTTACCAGGGAGGCAGGTTAATTTAAGGCTCTTCAGGAAAAGGTACCATCTGCGAGGCAAATCCCATAGGAGATGTAGAGTGTGTGGCAGAACATGAATTGAAATAGCCAGCACACCCAGATGCATATTAATGAGCCTGAGACAGGAGAGATCAATTGATTACTAGAGTTAAAGCAGGCAGGCTGCCAGCTTCCCCTTCTTTCTTTCTCGCTGCATGTTTTCTTATCCGGTGATTTCTCTCCTCATCAGAAGCAGCTCCATTTCCTCTCTCCCTTTCACTCCGCTACATTTATTGTGCACTTACTACCTACCATAACTAGATGTTGTTATAGGAGCTGGGAATACATCTGTGAACAGACTAATCCCTGCCCCCATAGAACTTATATTCTACCTGGGCATTCACTTAGGCAGTAAACCAGGAATTGCATAATTATTCATTACAATTATGATAGATGCTTTGAAAAAGTACTACAGGGAGCCATGGACTCATTTACAGTGAATATCACTTGGGACTATATTGGCTGCAACAGACTAGGTGACAAGATACAAGAATACTTCTTTATTATATGAAGGCATTATAGGTGGTGGAACCCACGGCTGGTATGGCAGCTCTGGTGTCACAAGGGATACAGGTTTTTCGTCTTTTGGATTCACCATTCTGACCTGGCTTCCGTCTTCAAGGTTACCTCCTAGTCCAGAATGGCTGCTAGAGCTCCAGCCTTCATGCCCACATTGCAGGCTAGAAGAAAGAACAGCAAAAGGCCAAGGATACCTCTGCCAGCCAAGTCAGCCTCCCTCTGCTCATATTTCACTGGGCAAAAGTAAAATTTTACTTGTAAACTGATTATAAACCAGCTAATATTTCCTGAACATCTGCAATGTGTCTGGCACTTTGCAAAACAACCTTGCAAGGCAGCTATCATCCATTCTATTTAACTTGGGGAGGCTGAGATGGGAGGATCTCTTGAGCCTGGCAGTTTGAGACCAGCCTGGGGCAACAAAGTGAGATCTTGCTTGTAAATTATAAAAATAATAATAAAAAAATTCTATTTAACAGATGAGAAAAGTAAGGCTGCATAGGGTTAAAGCACTTGTCCAAAAGTCACACAACCAGTCAGTGGTGGAGCTGACTTCCTGGAGGCCATTCTCTTTCCATTGTACATTTCTGCCTTCCCATCAGCACCTACAAATGAAGCAAGAGTGGTCCTCACATTTGTCATCGACTATATTTAAAGAAAGGCCACTTTTTTTTCCTATTTAAAAATGCATTAAACAATGCAACCAATTAAAAGAACTGAGATGGATTTGTATAAAAGCAGGGAGTTGGTCTGTTTTGTTCACTGCTATATTCCCAACGTCTAGCACTGTGTCTGACAAACATACCGGCATGGAAAGAACATTTCCATAACCCCTGAATGTTCCTTTGTGCTCCTTTCCAATTAATCCCTACCTCAGAAGCAACCACTGTTCTGATGCTTCTTACCATATACTAGTTTGACCTCCTCTTGACTTTCCGGTAAATGAAATCATACATCTATGCTCTTTGACTTCTTTTTTTTTTGAGACAGAGTCTCACTCTGTCACAAGGCTGGAGTGCAGTGGCACCATCTCAGCTCACTGTAACCTCCACCTCCCGGGTTCAAGCGACTCTCCCACCTCAGCCTCCAGAGTAGCTGGGACTACAGGTGCACGCCACCATGTCCAGCTAATTTTTGTATTTTTAGTAGAGACAGGGTTTCACCATGTTGGTCAGGCTGGTCTTGAACTCCTGACCTCGTGATCCACTTGCCTCGGCCTCCCAAAGTGCTGGGATTGCAGGTGTGAGCCACCGCACCCAGCTGAGTTCTTTTGCTCAACAATTGTTTTTGAGATTTATCCGTTGTTACATGTATCAGTATTTCATGATTTTTTTATTGCTGTGTAATATTACATTGTTTGAATATACCGTGATTTTCTTATCCATTCCTTTTATGGGTCTTTGGGATATTTATAACTGGAGAATAATATGAGTAAAAATTTTTGTTTTTGTTTTGTTTTGCTTGAGATGGAGTCTCACTGTGTTGTCCAGGCTTGAATGCAGTGGCATGATCTTGGCTCACTGCAACCTTTGCCTCTTGAATTCAAGCCATTCTCCCACCTCAGCCTCCCAAGTAGCGGGGATTACAGGTACCTGTCACCACACCCAGCTAGTTTTTGTATTTTTAGTAGAGTCAGGTTTCATCATGTTGTCCAGGCTGGTCTCAAACCCCTGATCTACCCACCTTGGTGTCCCAGTGCGATTATAGGTGTGAGTCACCATGCCTGGCCAAGATGCTAAGAGCGTTCTTGTACCAGCTCCTTTTGGTAGACATTTTCCTACATTTCTCTTGAGTCTACATCTAGGAGTAGAATTTCTGGGTCATAGGGTAGGTGTATGTTTAACTTGATAAACTGGCAGTTTCCAAAAACAGCTGCATCCTTTTACATTCCACCAGCAATGTATGCGTGTGAGATGGAGATCTTTTGCCATCTGTATTATTTCCATAGCATAGACCCAACACAAACCTAATAAGGATTTGTTAGGGTATTTGCTGTTAAATCTACTCAGATAATAAGAAAATCTGAAATGAAATCGCAGGTCTGAAAATTCTCCTGAAAGGCAAGAGCTGTGCTACTGAGGATCTGTGGCATTGTCGGAGAGGTTCTACTTAAGTTTTCCAGGACAGTGAAACGCTTAGCAACCTTGGCATAGGTTTCAACGGATTGAGCCACAGGGATCAATTTCCCTCTCTTTTTCTCAGCCTGTAACTCAAACCTTATGTGAGAAGGAGAGGGAGGGAGTGTTAGAAATGTGAAACTGTGTCAAGTTCATTCATAACAAGCATTTATTACCCCCGGAGTGGCCATCACCTCGCTAGACAGGATGGTAAAGAGGAAGGATGTAGAAGAGTCCACTCCTGTTCTCAAGTTATCGAGTCCTTCACGATCTAGACGATAGATACAAGATGGCAACTCTTCCTCTGTTCACCATGGACAGGCTGGTGTTTGTTCTTCTAGATTCTGCTCTTTGTCCTTTTTATGTTCTATTCTACATTTGCTCACTGGGTCATTTCATCTGAGCCTGTGGTTTCAGCAAACCACCGCGCCTCCCTCCCAAATCACTACAGCTGGTCTGAGCTCACTCCTAGGCTCCAGATGCATGTTTTCCAGCTGCTTCCATCCTCCACTCCTCTCTACCGCTAGCAACTTACACACAATTCCTCAGTAACTTGTGTTAACGTTGCCTCTGAGATACAGCCAGAATCCTGCCATTTCTCATTGCTTCCCCCTTCATGACCCTGCCCAAGCCACAGTCATCTCCGGTCTGCACTATGGTAATACTTCTTCCAAATCAATATCACTGCCTTAGTGCTGCTCTTTATTCATTCTCCTTTCTTTTGGTAACAGTGACTTGAATCTCCTTTGGTGAAAGTAACCATCGGCATCCCAGCAGATGATTAATCTAAGGAGGGTTTAGTAAAGGTTACATACAGATATGTGGGTAGGGCTGAGGGAGAAAGCAGGACTGACGATGTGATACACTGTGGCAAGCAACAGAGGGGAGCCATTATCACCTCAAGGGTGAGAGAAGGGAGAATTTACTAGAACTAGTAGAGAATACCTGTGTGAAGAAGGCCAGTTGGCAGAAGCTCCAGTAAAAGTATGTAACCAACCTGCAGCAACCTAGAAAGGCAGGGGCCAGAGGAAAATACCCTTACCTTCCTCCTCCTCCAACCCTCTGGTCTCATTTCCAGCATCTTCTACTTGGTGAATTCAACTGTAAGTCAGAGGACAAGGGAACTGTGGAAGCGGTACCATGCAGGTTGGCCTGTTGAGGCTCAAATTAGGAAGGAAAAGGGTGGCGGTCAGGAAAGGCCAACAGAAATGATACAGGACAGGAAGCCACCTCTCCCTGGACTTCAGTGAGTTGAGAGGAGTTGTCAGAATCTTCCACGCCCCTTCTCAAGAGAGTGGTTTAGTGATGCACAAATAACACGAGTTAGACCAACAAGATGTAGTCCTGGGATTTTTGTTGACAGTGTCAGGGAAAAGAAACTCTTTCTGCTGTTAACGGTATGATTTAAAGTTGTAAGCAGCCATTCTGCCATCTCATGGGGAAAAGGAAGCCTAAGAATGAAAAGTCAACAGGAAATAGAGTCAAGAAATGGAGAGAAAAGACTTACTCCTGATGTCATAGGTTAAGCCCCTGGATCCAGACATGCCTGAAGCCCCAAACTTTTCTGTTATGTGAGTCAGCGCATTCCATTTGCTGCTTAACCCAGTCTGATTGATGTATTCCATGAAAAAATAAAGATAATCTTGGATAATACTTGATAATGCTTACCCCAAAGACCAACCCAAAGATACAGCTATATGTCTCTAAATATGCTGCTACTTGTATGGAATGCTCTTTTTCATCTTCTCCCCTAAAATACTCTTACTTAAATATCCTCTTAACTGCAAAGGCTTCCCTGACCCTTGCATGTAGGATTGCTCACTTCTTCTCCTTTGCCAGCACTTTGCAAATGTCTCAATTAGTTCACATCTACAATTGTATCACAGTCACTGTCTCCCCTATCTGTGAACTCCTCAGGTGGCAGAGCTGTGTGGGCCTTACCCTTGCAAGCCCAACACCCGCACAGGGCCTAATAACTAAGTTAAACAAGCTAACCTGGTTGTTTTTGACTTAGGATCTCTCAGGACCATTTTTGTGCGAACGTGCATCACACATCTCCAAGCAGGGCTATGGAATGAGGCCGTTTCCAAACTCATCTGATGTGAAAACTCAATTTTTTGGCCAGGTGCAGTGGCTCACGCCTATAACCCCAGCACTCTGGGAGGCCGAGGCAGGAGGATTGCTCGAATTCAGGAGTGGAGACCAGCCTGGGCAACATAGTGAGACCCTGTCTCTACAAAAACAGAAAAATTAGCCAGGCATGGTGGCATGGGCCTGTAGTCAGTCCCAGCTACTCAGGAGGCTGAGATGGGAGGATCGATTGAGCCTGGGTGGCTGAGGCTGTTGTGGGCTATGATTGTGCCGCTGCATTCTAGCCTAGGCAACAGAGTAGATCCCATCTCAAAACAAACAAACACCAAAAAAAAAAAAAAAAAAACAACAACAACCAAAAACCAGCAATTTTTGCAAAAGTTGCTGTGTTAGACGAATTTAGAGAAAAAAATTACTGTTCTTAGGGTAACCTTGACAAAAGCAGCTTGCAATCAATATTTATTAAATTAATGAAAGTGAAGAACTTAGTTAAGTCAAGAGCAGGAGCAGCAGGATTGGAGGCAGCAAGAACAACAGAAGCATCGAGCAGGAAGCAGGAGGGGTGATCTGCTGGACATTCCTCTTCCTCTGTGCCAGTGCTGGGCTCAACTGCTGGAGAGCTTTTCGGGTCATTATCCAATCCCGATTCCTCAGTTTACATCTAACAGGGATTGGATGTGCTGTACACATTTTAGTCCATCTTCCTGCCCCATGATGCAGGAACTGAGTACCTTTGATGTTAACCTTCACTGTGCTAACTTTGCCTCTGAAAGGCCTTGAGTGGGTGATCAGAGCCGATTTTCTTCTTCTGTTTTTTGTGAGCTCTTGCTGCCCAGGCTGGAGTGCAGTGGCATGATCTCGGCTCACCACAACCTCTGCCTCCTGGGTTCAAGCGATTCTCCTGCATTAGCTTCCCGAGTAGCTGGGATTACAGGCATGCACCACCACACACGGCTCATTCTGTATTTTTAGTAGAGATAGGGTTTCTCCATGTTGGTCAGGCTGGTCTCAAACTCCCGATCTCGGGTGATCCGCCCGCCTTGGCCTCCCAAAGTGCTGGGATTATAGGCGTGAGCCACCGTGCCCAGCCAGAGCTGATTTTCTTCTAACTGCACATTGCTTTTTTTTTTTTTCTTGCTATGTTGTCCAGGCTGGTCTAAGACTCCTGGTCTCAACCGATCCTCCTGCCTTAGCCTCCTGAGTAGCTGGGACTACAGGTGCGCACCACCAGGCGGCTGCTGCGTCCTTGCAAGTGGGAGCTGCTCTGTGACCCTACTTCCCTGCTCTGTGACCCTACTTCCCTCTCTGCGGGCTAAGGGAAGAGATGCCAGCTGCCTTCCAAGTTGGGCTCTTGAGCTCTGTCATCATAATTATTGGTAATAATAATAACTGCCAATGTAAGCCCCAGTCCTACCACTGAAACTCGCAGAACAACTTAGACTCCGGCCCTTTCCTTTGAGAAATAGGCGTAATCATGTCCCGTGGTCTCCTAGAGCGTCAGAGTCAAGCAAGCAAGACTGCGTGCAAGGGTTTTTCCACGAAAAAGAAAGCACTAACGTGACTTGTATGACAACGGAAGACAGGGCATGGGGTGAAGAGGAGTGAGAGGAGGAGGGAGAGCTGGAGAAGGGAGGAGGCAGGAGAGGGGAGGGGAAGGAGTCGGGAGGGAAAGAGGGTTGTACCCGCCAGGGCTGGAGCCAGCCTGGGCCGTCCCACACCTGGTGCTCGCGGCAGCTCAGCTACTTGCGGCCGCCTCTCCCAGCGCAACGAGGCGCCGGGAAGCCCCCCGCATCCCCGCATCTGAGAATATCCGGGCCGCCGGTTGCCGGGAGGTGAACCGAGGTAAACTGGCCGCGCGCGGGGCAGAGTGTACATAGTAATTGGCCCTGAGTAAACGTTCGTCATATTCTCATGAGCTGCTCTGGGACTGTCCTACTGGGCTAGCAGGAAAAGGAGATCGGCTCTCTCTGCTCCCTGTGGAAAACGAGAAGGTCGCCAGACGTCCTGCTTTCGGGGGAACTAAAGCCCCCGCCCCAGCCACAGCCCAGGCCCCCCACAAGGCCGGGGACGAGGGACCGGAGGAGCTAGAGGAAGGCGCGCGCGGCGAGTCCCCCCCACCACCCTCGCCCCGGCCCCCGCGCGCCCCCGCCCCGGCCCTCGCCTCGTCCCGGCCTCGGGCGCCTGCGCCGCCGTGCGCGCGCCCTGCCAGAGCAGGAGGGTGCGAGGCGAGGCGCGCGGGGCCGGGAGCACGCGCGGCACCGGCAGCCTCCCTGGGCCCGGACACCGCCCTCGTCCCCGCCTAGGCGGCCGCTCTCGCTGGCGTCGAGGGCGTGGCGGCGAGACTGTTGCCGCCGACCGCTCCTGGCTCTGCCCTCTGCCCCGCCCGCCGCCCACCAGGCTCCCGGAGGCCCCGCAGCTCGCCGCGCCTGGCTCCCCGCAGCCCGTCGAGCCGCCCGGGCCCATCCGTCGCCCTCCCCGCTCCGGTCCTGCGGCACCGGGGCGTGCAGGTGAGGCCCCTGGGCGCCCGGCCTCTCCGGCAGGTTTGCACCCAGCGCGGGGCGGGGGTGGGGCGCGGGGCGGGAGCAGGGGCGTGAAAAGTTAAAAAAAAAAGGAAGAAGCCGCCTAGAGAAGCCTGGGAGGGAGGGCACCCAAAGCCGCGGGACCGGGAGATGCTGTCGCGCGCGACCTCGCCTCCCGCCTCACTCGTCTCGCGCTCGGAGTCTAGTCTGGCAGCCTCGGGGGTGGTGTCCTGGAAAACAAGACAAAAATGTTTTCTCTTCTCCACCAACGATTTTCTCTCAGCAAGTGTTTGACTTTTTGAAAAGGCGACAGGCCCAGTCTGTCCGTGAAGGCAGGAGCGGTGCATGGGCGCCCGGAAGGTGGAAGCCCCCCTGTCTTTCCCCCTCGCCCCGCTTCCCCCACGGTGCCTGGGTCACCATCGCTTTAGTGACTCCCTAAACTTCTTGAAACTTGTCTGTCTGCTTCTGTCCGCCGCCTCACAGGTAGGGCAGCAGTGATCTGTGCCAGGTTGATTCGTCGTCCAGCTTTCGTGCAAAATCTGATCATCTCCTGTAGAGATTAGGATTCCAGTGTAGGAAGCACTCCAGATCCGTGTTTCAGATACAAACAAGGATTATTTAAAGTGCTGTTTTCCTGTAGTGTTGAAAGCCAAACATATTCGCTTCCACTTGTTGGAAGCCACCGAGTACACCACATTTATTTTAACTTTTCATAGAAGTCTCTGATGTACTTTTGGCGAAAGAAGCAATTGACTTATCTGAGGCCGTGATTACATATGATGTAATTTGTTTTAAGAATATTTCATTGGCTTTGGTTCAATATCTTAAACTCTGTAAGCACATAATACAGGAGCTAGATGTGCATCACACAAATGTGTTCTTTTTGGTGGGAATTTAAATTGATTTTCTAGAAATGGGCTTTCCATGCAGAAGACTGTGAAAAGCCTGAAAACAGTCTCTTCTTTAGCCAGGTCATCAGCTTTACATTTTACCGCATTGGAAAGCCTTGCCTTTTCTTCTTCCCTTTTTTCTTTTCTTCTTTTTGAGACAAGGTCTCACTCTGTCACCTAGGCTGGGGTGCTGTGGTATAAACACAGCTCACTGCAGCCTCAACTTCCCAGAATCAAGCGATCCTCCCACCTCTCTGCCTCCCGAGTAGCTGGGACTGCAGGTGCTGGCTAATTTTTTGTAGAGATTAGGTCCCATTGTGTTGCCCAGGCTGTTCTTGAACTCTGAACTCCTGGGCTCAAGCCATCTGCCCACCTGTGCCTCCCAAAGTGCTGGGATTACAGACATGAGCCACTGCGCCTGACCCAAACCGTTTCTTTCTTAGCCTGGAAACAGATTGCCGTGCTTTTCGGGGAAACAAGATTTTTCCTGCTATTGAAATATAACGTTATGTTTGTAAAAGTTTAAAGCATGTGAACATTAGGGTAACAGTCAAGAGCAGATTTTGTACGGTGTTAGAGTTGTTGGTTGAAGGACTTAAAACATGAAAAATAGTGTAACTTAAAAATCCATTAACCTGAACCCTGTGAAATAATGGAAGCTGTTAAGTTCAACACCATTTGTTACTTAGAAAAAAAAAAACACGGAAGGTGGAGGTCGGATGGCGATCTCCACTTTTCCCCTAGAATGTAGAGGTTCTATCCAGGGGAAATTAATTATACACAGCACAACAAATAGCATTAGTCTTGTATATCTCGACTTCAGATATCTTTAAAGCCTCTTGTTTTCCTATGTTCTGTAGGCTGGTTTTTGTTGTTGTTTATTTCTGTCTCTTGCTAACAAATTCCTGGTGGAGTAGAACCTCATGATAACAGGACCAATTCTAGGTTATCTGTGAAAACAGGACATTGAAACATACAAAATACAAAAATCAAATTTCACCTATTTTACTTTTCTGTTGCACCACATTTTTCTTACCACAGCTACTAAACAATAGTACAGTTCTACCTGTAAGTGGAATGAGTAGAGAGTAGAAGGTAGGGCTTTGTGATGGCTGTTCAGAACTTCCCATGGACAGTCTTAAGTGGCTTTTAGTGGTTGCTGTTTTCTTCTTCTTCCTTTTTTTTTTTTGGACATAAGGTCTTTTCTTGTCCAGGCTGGAGTGCAGTGGTACAAACAGGTTCACAGCAGTCTTGGCCTCCCAGACTCAAGTATTCCTCCCACCGCAGCCTCCCCAGTGGCTGGGACTACAGGAATGCACCATGTATTACCGTGTATTTTTTTGTAGAGGGGGTTTCGCCCTGTTGCCCAGGTTGGCCTCGAACTCTGGAGCTCTGGCAGTCTGCCTGCCTCTGCCTCCCAAAGTGCTGGGATTACAGGCATGAGCCACTGCACCAGTCCAAGTGTTCTTTGTTTTTTTAACTTAGTTGACATTTATAATTTAGAAGTTTAAAAAAGGAACTTAGTTGCCCAAAGCACCTGTGAGTGTTTATTTTCTCTATTTTATGCATTTTATTTTGTTTATTTTATAAATACAAAAAAGCCAAGTGATTTTTCCCAAGGTTATTCAGCAGGGTACTTGTAGAGCTGAAAATGGAGCACTTATTTACTTCCAGTTTGTCCGGTAGCATTTTGAACACATAAAAAAAGTAAAAAGTGCATCTAGCTAAGATATTGAAATGTTTCACCAAGCTGGGAAGCCTATTAATTTGAAAAAAGTATTATTATTTTAATCCTGGAGGAGAAATAATTTACCTTTTCCTGATCAGAACAAAAAATGCAAGATCAATTCCATGTGCTTGACATTTTGCCTTGATAGATGATTTTTGTCACAGACTTGTGGCAGAGCAGATGGCCATGATCCCTGGAGTTTTTCCACTTCTTTAATATTTCCATGAAGAAACAATTTGCCAGAAGCCAGCTGCAGTTACAATTGTGCTGGAGATGATGAGAAACCTGGATTAGCATAGGCCTTTGCTTACCGGAGCTGGAGGATTTTGGTTCAGCCCTTTCTGCTGGGCCAGTCAAGATTTCCCTGGACTGGTAAACTGAGGAACAGTTTAGTCTTGTGATAGTTGGAGCGGCACAAAGTTAGCAACACCTCCAGTTACACCACGTAGAACGAACGTACTTGTGTAATTTTTTTCTTTGCCCTAGTGAAATTGAGTTTACCTTCTAAGTACAAGCTGAGCTACTTTTTAAAATCTCCTTACCTATATATTTCTATTCAGATTTAACTGCACTTAACGATTTAACAGCTTCTGTTAAAAAGAAAATTATAAAATGGTTGACAATGTTAATTCAAACTCTATTTAAAAAACCCTCATGGCTTGTCTTTAGCAAGAGAACCATCCTCAGAATGATAATGTCTTTGCTACTGTATGCTTTGCATGACAGCATAACATTCTATGAGGTTTATAAAAAGGCATCACAGCCTTTTTACATCTGGACACGCTTTTATTCTGGAGCCATATTACTGCCTCCAGTGGTTGTTCTGTAGCTCACTTTAAAAATATTATTTTCTTTTCCCTTTTCACAGGTGTTGTCGCAGCTCATTTTATTGACTCATCTGCTACTGAATAGTTTTCATGAAATGATACAAAGTGTTTGTTTTATTTTTGTTGCCTTTTTGTTGCTTGGAACTAGATCCTTTGGGAATGAGCTTTTCCTCATTTTACTGTTTTTAGTATTAATTCCACTGATGGTTTGATACTGTTGGGGTCCTTTCAACTCAAAAATGCATTGACATAGATCATGCCTATGTAAAAATAGTTGCTGAGCACTAACTATATGCAAAGCATTCTTCTGAGCTCTTAGCATGGATTCCCTAATTTAATCCTCCTAACATCCTTATCGGGTAAGGGTTATTATTAGCCCTATTTTACAGTTGAGGAAACAGAAGCAAAGAGACAACATAATTTACATAAAGTACTGGAGGAAACAGAGTTCAAATCTAAAGTCTGGTTATGGAGCTTGAATCTTTCTGGGGTATATGTAACGACTGTTCAGACGCATTTACAGTTACCGAGGTATTTCAGCAATCAATCCTTTTTAAGCTTATCAAATATACAGTGATGTATAAGTGAAGAAAATATAACAATACTATAAAGATTATTAAAATATCTTGGGTCAGGCGTGGTGGTTTACACCACTACTCCCAGTGATTTGCAAAGCTGAGGCAGGAGGATCATTTGAGACTAGGAGTTCAAGACCAACCTGGGCAACATAGGGAAGATGGCTTGAGGCCAGGAATTTGAGATCAGCCTGGGGAGTATAGTGAAATCCCATCTCTACAAAAAATTAGCCAGGCATGGCAGCGTGTACCCATTGTCTTACCTACTTGGGAGGCTGAGGCAGGAAGATCACTTGAGCCCAAGAGTTTGAGGTTGCAGTGAGCTATGATCATACCACTGCATTCTAGCCCGGGTGACAGAGACCCTGTCTCTAAAATAAAAAAAAGAAAGAAACAAATATAGATATCTTGGGACAAAAGACAAATAATTTAACAATAAAAAAAAATTGAAGGACTGGGCACAGTGGCTCACACCTGTAATCCCAGCACTTTGGGAGGCCAAGGCAGGTGGATCATGAGGTCAGGAGTTCAAGACCAGCTTGGCGAAGATGGTGAAACCTCCTCTCTACTAAAAATACAAAAAAATTAGCCAGGCATGGTGGTGGGTGCCCTCAGCTCCTTGGGAGGCTGAGGCAGAGAATTGCATGAACCTGGGAGGTGGAGGTTATAGTAAGCTGAGATTGCTCCGCTGCACTCCAGCCTGGGTGACAGAGTAATACTCTGTCTCAAAAAAAAAGAAAGAAGGAAAATAGCTAAGACATTATTAGGATAACTGACAAAATTTGAATCCAGATTATGCATTTGATAAATTATACATTAGATAATAGTATTATATGGATGTTAAATTTTCCATTTATGGTAATTATTCTGTGGGTTATGTAAGAAAATGATCTTGTTCTTATACACTGAAGTATTTGGAAGTAAAGAGGGTATGTTCCATCTTTCAATGGCTCAAGAAAATACACGTCTATAAAAATAGAGAAAGATAGAGCAGATGGGC